TATATATATAACACATCATATACGAAGCTCTACAAGGGACCAACTATGCTTTGTGCTGAATACTGTGGGCAGAGAAACTGAGACTTGCTAAAATAGCAGTTTTCAACATCATTCTCGGCCGTGAGGGGCTGTAGAAGTTGCTCAGATGTGTAGTTGGCTGGTCTAGGGGGCTCTCCTGGAAAAAGGCCAGGCTGTCACTTAGAAGCCAGCAGAGTGCATGCCAGACCCTCAGTGATGAGCAAGGAATGGGATTTTAATACCCAGGAATGAAGGGAAAACGGAGAATAACAAGTGGTCTGACACCTGCCATTGCATTACTCTTGCATAATGCAAGGATATCCCCTGCCTTCTACAATGCAGTGCCCTTGATTAGGTCTTGAGAAGTAAAACTACATAACCTTGTATTCATTTGCACTTCTCTCAGCGAATCCACATCCTATTTCCATGAATGTACCACAGTATCTTGGGCTTGGGCTTCAGAGTCAGACCTGGTACTGAAGCCTGGCCCTACCATGTATTAACAAAATTACCTATATATGTAAAGCCTCAGTTTCTTCATCAGTAAAATAAAGATGACAATAAAATTTTTATAAAGATTAAATATCCATGGGACCAGCAGTTAGCATAATGGCTATGTCGCTGAACTCCCATGTAGTCGACCGCAGTTCATCATGGACCCGGTGGCTTAAACTCATACTGGGCACATGTGCGTGCATGCCCAAGATCCCGAGGGGAGAATGGAGGCATGGCCATCCCCCCTGGGGATTGATTCCTCGCTTTTTGTCTCTCTGTCTCTCTCTGTCTCTCTCTGTCTCTCTAGTGAGCACATGCGCCCTGTAGCAAAAACCTCTCACAAAAAAAAAAAAAGATTACATATCCTTGTGAAAAATAATTCATGTGATACTCTTAGCATAAAACCTGACATATTAAAAATGTTCCATGTTATATTTTTAAGAAGTACCAGGGCTGGCCCTGTTGCCTAAGGGATAAGGAAGCTGGAGCTTCCACCACCAGCCACACAGTTTGAATCCTTGCTCAAGTGGCTTGAAAACACACCAGGCACCTTGTGTGCATGCCCAAAATCCCAACAGGATGAAAAATGGAGATGGGAATGCAGCATGACCACATCTCCTCGTGGGGGGGGGGGGGTCTTTCTTCCTCTCCCCCTCTCTCTGTTTCTCTATCTGTGGCAAGCATACACACACACTGACAATTAAAAAAAAAGGTGGGGTAAAACTTCAGGAAACTGGGCCAACTCATGGTTTGGTGGTTAAGGTATCTGTATCCTACATGACTTCCCACGTGGTTCCAGTCCCAGACTTGGCAACTTGGAAAAACACAATGAGCACATGTTCATACGTGCCCACCAGTGTCCCCAAAGGAGGGGGGAAATGAAGCAGGAAGGACTGTGACGTGACCACGGTGGAAGTGCTTTCTCACTTTCTCTCCCCCTCCTCTCCCAACAAGCACATGTGCTGTCTGGTAAATTTTTGAAAAAATTAAAAACTAGGAAACCTACAGGTGATTTGGATTCAATCTTCCCACAGAGAACTACTAAAAAAGCTAAAGAAAACATACTTATTACAAGTTTTGAAAGTCTCATCGAGCTAACAAAACAGTGAGGAATATGGTCTAGGAGAAGATAGAAACTTAAAGAAGTCAGCTTAGCATTTGGGAATCGCTTTTGTCTAAGGGATGTTTATTAAGGCCAAAGAGATATCCAAGAGGCTGAGCACATTTTCGTTGCTCAGGATGCCAAAAGTTAAAGTCTAGAGTCCACCAGGAATAGTTATTCTGGAAAACCTCCTACCCTCTGCACAAAGCGGAAATATAACCACTCTTGAAAGGACTGCAATCCAGCTTTGAGCCATCTGAGCTGCCCGGAAAAATCTCAAGCCCTGAAAATGAATTAAAAAGAGTCCCGGTTTTAATTCTTCCCAAATACCTAACAAAAAAAACTCGAAATCTTCTCTAGAGGAATAGACCATCATCTTAGGTTTCAAATGATTTCTACAAACAAGTTATTAACTAGTCCATGAAAAGATAACCAGTCACACAAGGACAAAAATGAGAGACATTAAAAACAGCCACTTAGGGGCTCCAAAGTTTGGAATTATCCAACACAGATGTAAAATAACTATGTTTATTGTGGTTGAGAAAAAAAAAAAGAAACATTATTAAAAATCTAGTAAAATAACTAAAAATTCTAAAATCTGGCAGAGAAGATTTAAAAAAGAAATAAATAGAAATTCCAGAACTAAAAAAATACAGTAACTGAAATAACTCAGCACATGAGTTTAACAGCAGATTAGATATATGAAGAGAGTATTTGTTTACTGGAAGGTAGATTTCGCATGGAAAAACAAACACTGGCATATATAGAAGAGAGCGTGGGAAGGATAGTTGTTATGAAGAGAAGAGATAACATTGGAGTCCCAGAAGGAAAAGTGGACCAGAACAAATTCACAGATATTTGCTGGAGATTTTTCCATGAATCCATAAATTCATGAAGTCCTAGGTACTTCAGGCAGAATGAATAAGAAATCCACACCTAGCACCGTCAAATTAAAACAGCAGAAAACTAAAGAGACAAAGAACATATTAAAGAGTCAACCACAAGGGAATCCTTTTGGAGAAACAACAGTTAAAAATGTTTAAAAGCAACAAAGGAAACCAAGAGACAATGGAATCTATCTTCATTGGACTGAAGAAAATAATTACCAAACTAGAATTCCACATTCAGTAAAAATATCCTTAAAAACTGAAGTGAAGTAAATACTTTTCAGACAAACAAAAACTGGGAGAATTCTTCACAACAAAAAAGATATTAATGGATGTTCTTCAAGCTAAAGAAAAGTAATCTTAGGTCAGAGATGCAGGAAGAGGGAACTGCAAATGGCATAATGGTGACATGCTGGACTCCCATGAAGTTGACCACATTTCAAGTCCCAGACTCGGCAGCTTAAAACTCACTCTGGACACGTCTGTGTGTGTTTGTGCTCAAAATCTTAAGAAGAGAAGAGGAGAAGGGACTGTGCCATGGCCATACCCGCCAGAAGTTGATTTCTCACTTTCTGTCTCTCTCTCTGTCGCTTCAGTGGGTGCATGCACCTTGGAGCAAAAATCCCTCTAAAGAAAAAAGAAAAAGAGATGCAGGAAGAAAGGCAAAGTCATAAAAATGAGAAGTTGGCAAGTTGAATTTGTACAAATTATGATGTTGAATACCTATAAGGGGCTGATTTAAAAGGTGAGGTTATCTGCCCTCTGTATTAGTTAAAAATTACATTTGGCTAAACCCTGAAAGAAAATAGTTAAATCTTATTCTCAGATTTCAGTGGTGTGGTGTGTGTGTGTGTGTGTGTGTGTGTGCATGTGCGTGTGCATGTGCGTGTGTGGAGTTTTAGACAGGGTTTCACCATGTTATGATCGTCCCACCTCAGCCTCCCTCCTGAGTAGCTGGGACTACAGGTACTTGTAATCGTAAATGGATTTTTAGGGTGAACCAAGAATTGAATCTGGGCCAATCATGTGACCTCAACATGCCAGGCAACAGTATCCAATGTGTGCTACAATGAGGGCTGGGCCCTCACATGACATTTTGCACTATATTTTCTATTACTCGGAGTAAAGAAAAACTATATGCCATAAAGAAAAGATCAACAGATTTTAAAAATACAAATTGCCAAAGATATCATTTATAAAGTAATAGATTGTGAAAAAGTATTGCAATATTTTTGTTTGTTTTTTGTGTTTTCTAGAAGGCACTTGTCTCGCTGGAGAGAAACAAAAAGAACATCCCCTCCCACCCCTACTCAGGAGGTCAACACCATAATCCCTTTGCCTCCATGTGTCATTTCAGGAATTTGGGGAGGCACGCACATGTGCCTCTATGTCTTTCAAGCTGCCATGTCCAAATTACACAGTTGACCATATGGATTCAGTTGCCTTAACCACCATGGCACCGACAGGCCCACATTCGCAATGGTCTATCAGCTGGAACTAGGTTCAATGCACGTGGGATGGGACCCGTGGGTAGAGACAGGTGGCATGGCTCTGAGAGACTATTTTATTCATTAAACCACAAAAGTTTTGTTAAATAATAAAAGTAGATAATAAATTTAAAAAGAAAGGCTAAGTGGTCCCAGTTTTCTGTGAATAGAGATGTTAATTGATTTGGCAGCTAGTAGCAGTTTTCCAATAATGTGATTTGGAAATATATTACACACACACACACACACACACAATAGTGATATTTATGATACCAGAAATAAGATAAATAATGGCCTTTTCTAGTGTTTTGTAAGAAAAATGTAAATAGTTGTATTCTCAGGATAATTAAATGTTTCAGTACAGACTACATGTCCCCTAATGTCCCTTCCAGCCCTAGAATTTTAAGATTCGCCCTCAATTCTGCAAGAATATCATCCCCCAATTATTAATACCCAAGTTCTTTGTTCTAAGAAAGTCAAGGGCTTTTTAATAATTCTATCCCATTGTTCTCAGAGGAATCATCACTGGACAGAGTTATTCTGCCAACAATGGAGCTGTCAAACGGCCCTCTCAGCGTCCACCCATCTTCCTCACACTCCGCACTCTGCCAGTGCCTTCACTTCAAGATGTTTCTACAGCATGTCCTCCTGCTCTCTCACAACCAGCGTGCTGAAATGACAGACTGACTGAATCAGTTCAGGAATGTTCTCCATAGGCAGAAATAGCTGGATGGTAAAGTGGACATTTGGCATCACCTGGACTGTATTCAAAAAGCAGATCACAGCCCTAGACAAAAGGCAGAGAAGACATGGCAGTTCTACTTGCTCACCTGCCGGAGTTTGGTTCCTACCATAGAGGCACTGCTGTCAAGCACAAAAACCACATTTTTGGGTAAAGGAGGAAGGTCTTTAGGAGCAAAGTAGTGCACAAAATAACCATTTAGGACCTGGTGGAGAAAAAAAAAGAGAAAGAAAATGGTAGTGAGGAGGGAGAAAAAAATCCTTAAAGTGGATAGTTTATGTAACTTCTAAAAGTCAAAGACAGTATGAAGCAGAATATCGGGTTATATTTCATACCCAGAGCAAATTTTCTATGGTCCTGATTCCTCCAAGAGAACTAACTGCTAATTTAATCTGTATTAGAATGATCCCTTAAAAATTGATTGATTATGAGTAGTAACTCAACTGTAATTACCCATTCCCTGTGACCCTTGCTACTTGAGAATCCTGATTCCTTCATTATTTTTTAAGAATAATGTATTCGTCTATTTATTATGATGATGATTATTTTTAATTTGGCCAGAGAGATAGAGAAAGTGAGAAGGTCAGTCTCCAGGCCCAGGGCTTGAACTGTGGTTGGCCATGTGGGAGTCTAGTGCCTTAACCACCACTCATCTGCCAGCCCGCATTATTTGGTTTTTAGAAAGCATCCTTCAAGTTGAGACATGAAGACTGTCTACATTCTACATTCCCATTAATGTATTTTAATATTCCCTCCCCATATTTGGAGCAATAAAGCCTAATGAGAAGTGAGCCATGGAATATTCTCTTTTAATTAAAATTGAAAAGCAATTAAAATTCTAATCACATATGAAACATCACCCAGAGAATTAGATTACAGATTTCATTTGCTCTTCAGATTACTGAAGCAGAAATGAAGGACCCTTGGCTTCCAATCAGGAGATCCCACTAGTTTCTTTGGAGACATATCCTGGGTTAACACAAATTTTCTAGGAACCAGAAAGTTCTCTCTCTAGTAGGTTAAATATTGGGATCCATAGTTCTGAATTTAGGAAAGGTATCAAGCAATCAACATGAAAGAGAAACAACAAACCATTACCTGGATGTCCCCAACACTCTGTTCCCTGTTGACATCATATCTAATTATGAAATCACCCAAAATTCCATTCTGGGCAATCCTGGCTTGTTGTACCACCGTAGGCTTAAAAATGACTTTGGCAAAAGTTTCATTTTGGTTGATAACAGTAGAAGGAGGAGGTCCAGCATTATCTGCAAATAAGACACAACTGTAATAAGTAACTGAGTATATACATAATATTCTGGACTGAGGCGGCATCCAGGACCGCAGGTGGGCCGCCTGGGACAGGAAGGCATAGCATGGAGAATGATAAACTTCCGTCAGCGGATGGGCTGGATTGGAGTGGGACTGTATCTGTTAGCAAGTGCAGCAGTGTTTTACTATGCTTTTGAAATCAACGACACTCACAACAGGCTGGCCTTGGAGCACATTCAACCGCACCCCAAAGAGCCTCTTGAAGGAATCACATGGACACTCTCCTTGAAAGCTCGGTTACTCTCCTTACCTTTTTGGTTGTGGACAATTATTTTTCTGATTCCTTACTTACAGATGTTTTTGTTTCTTTATTCTTGTACAAGAGCTGATCCCAAAACAACGGGCTACTACATCATCCCCATATGCTTGGCAGTTATTTGCAATCGCCACCAGGCATTTGTCAAGGCTTCTAATCAGATCAGCAGACTACAACTGATTGACACATAAAATCAGGCACCGCTTTTTTCTTACAATTACAAAACTGCCAGTACCATGTGGAGTCTGGTCACAAGATTACAGTTTCTTCATAGATCTCAGGAAGTTGTGGTGGGGCAGAAGCTTTTGAAAAAAATGTGACCGGGGCTGTTTTATCTGAATAATAATGGATTTTTAGGTAAAGCCTGAGATACAGTACTACAAAATCATACTGATGACTTCTGACTTCAGATTTTGGAAGTAAAATTGTGTCTTTAGAAACGTGAATAAGTATCTAAACTAATATTTCTATTCTATGGTGCAGCATAGTTATGATTCAGAAATTTTTCCTTGGGGAAAAAAATAAGTATGAACATTTCCATTGTGTTATGTGTAAAAAAGGTCCAAACATGGTCATAAAATTTAAATTTTATACCGTTAAAAAAAATTCTGAAAAGAAATGGAGCTGTTTTGCCTACCCTGAGGATTAGACTTGATTTTACTGCAGGCTTGCATTTCATGTGAACTTCTAAGACTTTGTACTGATAATGCATCCCAATATAAGAGATATGCTATCATATAGCTCACCAGTATGCATCCCTTGGCACCTTTGATTATAAAAATTTTAAAAATATACAAAGGTATAGAAAAATAATAAAAATCACCCTTACCGCTATCAGCCAACTTTAACAGTGATCAACATTTTTACCAATCTTTTGTGTCTTTCTTAATCTATTCCCTTCCGAAATATTTTAAAATAAATCCAAGGTATTTTTTTTCTTTTTCTTTTTTTAAATTTATTTTTTAAATTTGCTATAGGGTGTGTGCACTCATGAGAGAGAGAAAATAAGAAAGCATCCCTGAGGGAAGATGACCAGGCTGCAATCCCTTCTCCTCTGTACTCTCAGGATTTGGGATACACACGCACATGTGCCTGGCCTGCTTTTCAAGCCTCCGGGTCCAAGATTCTAACCACACAGTATGCCATGTGAGATCCAGCTGGCTTAACTACAACACCATGTGGCTGGCCCTAAGACATTATATTTCATATACAAATGGTTCAATATGTTAACTATAAAGACTTTTTTAATATAATCACAAAACTCTTACTATGAGTAACAAAATGAATGTCTGATACTTTATCATTGTAATACCCAATTTGCATTTCAATTTTCCTGATACTCTAAAAAATGTCTTGCTATCATTGATTTGTTTGAATCAGGATCAGAAGAGAGTTCCCACATTACACTTTGCTTATTATCTTAAGTCTCTTGTAATCTGCAAAGTGTCCCCTTTCCCACCCTTCTTCTCATGCTACACAGATGTGGTAAAACATTGGTCACTAGTCCTGTAGAATTCCTCCTACTTTGCATTTCATGTTGTGTTCTTTACTTGCTCCTCTCTCACCCTAGTTTCCACCCTTGGTTGACACTGCAACATCTGGAGCAGTTATAAAAAATACTGATGCCTCGCTCCAAAGATTCTTATTTAACTGGTCTGAGCCTACCTGGCTATCAGAACTTTAAAACTTCCTCTCAATACATTGGAATGTGCAGTCAAGGTTGTGAACCACACCTCGATCCCCTGCATTTCCTTGTGTTCTGATAGTTAGAGCTAAAAGCTTGGTTAGATTTGGGTTCAGTGCGATTGAACTACTTCACAGGTGATGAAAACTTCATAGGTGATGCTGAGTGCTCTCTATGTCATATCAGAAGGTGTATAACAAACATTGTCTATTTTCAGTAGTGATAAAACTTATAGGAGGATCAAGTGTTGTCATCCTGCTCCTCCATAATAAAGTTCCCCAACCATCTTTCACATAATAGTTTGAGCCATCATTGATGATGCTAGACCTACTATTTCATGAGTTGTCAAATGGTGATTTCTAATTGTATCATTCCTTCCATGTAGAATTATTTCATAAAGAAAACCTTTCCCCTCATTAGTCATTTAGTTGCCCAAAGCATACTGTTTGTGCAGAAAGATTATGACTCTTTCTAAAAAACAAAAACAAAACATTTCCCAAGCTTTCCCCAGCATAAATCTTAGGACATACTTTAGAATTACAGAAAAATAAACAGATAAATGAATTTTATGTGATTTATTTTTTAAAAAAAAGCTCATATGATGACAGATTAAGCAAAGAGCATCCCATTTCACTCCTGACCTTTATCTCTTATTAAAATACACAGAGAATTGTTTAGTAGACCACCTACCTGGTTAAGCCCAAACATTTTATCTATGTACTTAGCAGTAAAAATTCAGATTTGGAGATCTGCATGCACTTTGAAAAATTTGAAAATAAAAATGAGAATTCTTAATTATAAGTTTATGTGAAGACTTTTTATGTAGATACTGAATGAAAGCCAGACTTAACACTGCTACAAAGCATCTGATTATCTTTCTAAATCTATTCAAGTAGATGGCATAAGCTAAGCAGCAATTTCCCATTCTAATTAGCAAAATAAGACAGGAAATGAGGCATACATTTCAACAGTAGTTTGTTCTTAAGAATAAACTTCTTTTGGATAAGGGTTTACTAGACACTGAAGTCAAAGGAAGTTTAAACATTTCCTTCAACAGAACAGACAATTATTTTTCAGAGACGATTTAGGTGTAACCTTAATAGGAACCCCAGGGCAGAACTGATTCTTCCATTATTTACACTTATCAAGGGCAGGAATTTTGGAAGTGATCAGAGAGCTAGCAAATAAGCCAAGTTTGTTTTTGTAGAAAGACAGTCGTGTAAGAGGGAAGGTGCTCCCAACAGATCTGCTCATCTGAAGGAGCAGGGAAAATGAAGAAGGCATGTTGACAAATGTCATTGCAAGTCTAGCATGCTTGACGATGCCTTAGAACCATTAGACAGAAAGAAGAAAGGGGGGGCTGAAAATGGAAAAGGCCTTGAAATCAAAGGAAACTGCATGTTCTGCACTGCTCACTGGTGAAGCACTAAGAATAAAAGGCATGGAGATACACAGTTCAGAAAACAGGATCATAAGTCGGAAGGACCTGCATTCAAAGACTGGTTCCACGTCTTAGCTGTGAGATCTTGGGCAAGTTACCGAGCTTTGGCTATCCCATCTATTAAATGAATTAATAGCAGTACCAATTTTACACGATTGAAAATATAAGTGATGTAATGAGCTTAGCATACGTATTGCTTCATAATAAGCAGTGATACTAGTTGGCATTATTAGCAGTCTGAAATGTGAGATAGAAAAAGGAATTAAATATGATTAAACATGTCAAATGTGGGTTTCCTACACAGCAATAAAAATTATAGTGCTACTTATAACATGGTTGAATCTCATAGTCACATTAAGTGAAAACACCAGATATCAAAGAATGCATTTTCTGTGCTCCCACTTACATAAAGTTCAAGACAGGAACTGCTTATCCATGGCAATCAAAATAGAGTAATGGCTAACTCGATGCAGGAGTACTGCCTGGGAAAGTGCACAGGGAATCTTCTGGCATTGTGAAGATAGTCTATGTCTTGAGTGGAAGGAGTATTGGTGTAAACACATGTAAAATTTCAACAAGCTGTACACATACAATTTGTACACTTTATTGTATGTGAACTCTTAACTTTTTAAAAATCTAAACTTAGGCATTAAATAGAACAATAGAGTTAGACTGAACAGCATCCCCTGACACAGAGCATACTGCAATAATATTATTTGCCAAACAGACCTTTGTCTCTTCTTTTTCTTAGGATAAGTGTGTTTGTACAGGCATTGAATCGGGGATTAGGTATAGCCGGAATTATTTCAGCTGGCAGAATTAGCACCATGGATAGAGCTACTTGGACTCACGGTTCAGTACAGTATCAGTCCACTCTGAGGAAGGTCACCTGCTGCTATTGGCAGCCATTGCCTTAGATGTGTTCAGCAAACCCTGGAAAAGTCACCTGCAGCTGGGTGTGGAGCCATGCTCACAGTGTGATCTCGGACCAGCAGCCACCCGACCTGGGAACACTCCTGACATGCCAGTTCTCGGGCCCACCCAGAAACTCTGAATCAGAAACTCTGGGTGGGACTCAGCAATATGTATTTCAACCAGCCTTCTGGCCGATTCTGTTTTCTGTCATAGAAAATAAGCATGTGCCTTATGCATAGTCTTTGTGCCTTAAATACAGGGAATACTCAATATCTGTTGTACATAACTAGGCAGCACCTCGATTATCTCTAAGATTCTTTAATAATTAGATTTGACTCTATACTGCCATCGTATACCTACTTTGTCTTGCTTCAAATCCTTCTCATGAAAATTCTTTTTACAAGTATTTTGAATTAATACCATTCATGGCTGAGTGAAGGCACAGGAGATTAAAAAGTATAATTTCTCTCTTCATAATTCATTTGACTAGGCTCTTTTATACAGACGTGAGAAAAGATAGTGTATTATTAGTTTGGTTTCCTACTGGCCTCTGGTGTTTGCTAGTTCATGATGAAAATTCATGATATCTCAACAGGCTTCTTTTCCAGGCTCCAAGAGTGGGTTGAGTCTCAGTTTGGTTACCCACCAGGGAGCCTAGCATTTGAGACTGACTTGTACCCAATAAGTACTAGCCAGCAAATGTAACCTTGCAAATTTTCCACTACCAAAAAAAAAAAAAATATTAGAAAAAATTTCAGAGTAAAATCTCTAAAAATAAATTCTGGTTTTTATCATAGGAGAGGGAAAATCTGTTAATTCGATTAGTATAGGCTGTCTAATACCATTCATGGCTGAGTGAAGGCACAGGAGATTAAAAAGTATAATTTCTCTCTTCATAATTCATTTGACTAGGCTCTTTTATACAGACGTGAGAAAAGATAGTGTATTATTAGTTTGGTTTCCTACTGGCCTCTGGTGTTTGCTAGTTCATGATGAAAATTCATGATATCTCAACAGGCTTCTTTTCCAGGCTCCAAGAGTGGGTTGAGTCTCAGTTTGGTTACCCACCAGGGAGCCTAGCATTTGAGACTGACTTGTACCCAATAAGTACTAGCCAGCAAATGTAACCTTGCAAATTTTCCACTACCAAAAAAAAAAAAAAGTATTAGAAAACATTCCAGAGTAATATCTCTAAAAATAAATTCTGGTTTTTATCATAGGAG